GCCAACTGGGGGGGGGGTTGAATGCCAGCAGGGGCACCAGTGGGGGCACCAGTGGCCGAATGCCAAGCTCATGTTGGGTTCTGGCTGCCAGGGCTGCAGAACGTTCCTTGTGCAATGCAACAGGTCATTTCCCAGGTTAGACCTGCGTGAGTAATACTTGAAACCAGAGATGAAGGACAAGATCACTAGCATGAGGGTAACAGCTTGCTCAAAACCTCTGTATCTGCTCAGCCACTGGAGAGGGACAGCTGCTTTCAGCTACCCTTTGCCTGTTGGACTGCACTGAGCAACCTGTTCCAGTAAGCAAAGCCAGCCCATCATTCCCTCCTCCAGGTACTTTTTCTAAAACAGATGTCTCTCTAACTTTTTTGGTCAGCAGGTTCTTATTATTCTCCATACTATGAAAAGATCCTGGCCTGTCTGCCTGTGTTCCTGGTGATGATCATACAGTGCCTCCTGCAGGACCCCTAGGTCTTGCTGAACCACGAGTGGTAGGTTCATGGAGCCTCTATGGAACTTTGTAACTCACTTGTTTTGGGGAAGCTAATACCAAGCAGTACCTACTTTGGGCTGTCAGCCTTTCTTCCTTCAGGGATAGCCATCTGTGGCACATGCTGTGTTTTGCCACTTGAGTTAGGAACTTGCCACTGTGGCACGTAAATTGTCTGGAGCTGTGCATGGTCACACACACACAGCTCAGACCCCACAGTAGGGTCTAGTCAAGCCACTTCAGATTCCAGGGCTATGACCTGCCCCATAGCACTGCCTTGTCAGCACCAGCTAAGGGAGCACTGTGGTAGGACCTCAATTCACAAAGACAGTGAGATGTAGCCCCAAAGGGACAGGCATGTTCTGTGGCCAAGAGGCCTGTAGCAGAAGGCAGAGGGATTCAGTTCTGGTGGTAGGGCTGTTGAAGTGAGTCCTGGCAGGGTTAGCACTAGTGACCCCTGGTTCTGGGGAAGAAAAGGGTCCAGGGCTGTGGCAAAGAAGGTGGGAGACAGAATTCCTTTAAAAAGTCATTGTTTATTAATCTGTTTGGAAGCAGTTACTTTCCCTCTTTATAAAGTGTCCCATCCAAGTTATATCAAAGTGAGTAACATGAAGAGGTGAGAATGTTTCCTGGCCCACAGCTCTCAGTAACACACAGGCATCCAGAACAACAGGAGAACAGTGGGCACAGTGAGCCCACAGGAAATGCAGTGGGGGTGGGGGCACTGCTCTGGCACAGACTGACCATACAGTACTGCTGAGGGGAAGTTCTGGCATGGGCAAGGCAAGAGCTGGGCCAGTGCACACCAGTCCCCTGGGCCTCAGGGGTGGGTAGATTAAAGCGAATCCCGTCAGTGTTCATGACTTGGCTCTGCTGATAGCTCCAGCTCTTCCCCACATGCTGGTGGGAGGGGGAGGGGGGGCTACCTCTTCCAGCACCAGGGGAAGGGCCATGGCATCAGATGGCACCACCGCGAAGAACTCTGGGAAAATTTAACCCACCCATGATCCTCTGCGGTCAATGTTATTGTGAATTTCTGAGCAAGAGGAATTCCCCTTCCCTCCTCCAAGGAACCACCAACCCTACCCTGTAGCACAAGCCTAGGACCCTAAGACCCTAAGACTATGGGCCCAGGAGGGTGTTGTGAGGGTGGAGATTATACCCAAGGCTAGCTAGTTTCTAAGTGAACTTCCTCACAGCTGTGTCTAAAACAGAGGGAGAAGCCACTAGGCCCGGCACATGGCAGCAATGCCAACTGGGCAGAGTCTTCAGAGAAAATGGTCTTTGGGCTGCTGACTCTGGGCATTGCCTCCTGCTGTGGCAGTAGGTTGAGAGCCCAGCCCCTCACTGCCCTCTGAAGCCAGCCAGCCTTCCCCTGAGGCTTGGCACTCCCCAAAGAGCTGGGGCTTCCCTCCTCAGGGTTGGTTTTGTCACCCATTCCTGGCCAGTGGGTCTGCCTGGACTCTCCCTGCAAGGAGCTATAGCACCAGTGGGGAACAACACTCCCCTCAGTTTATTCCATGCTTCCTGCTGGGGAGAGAGGAGCCCCAGGGATGAATGCGCCCTGCTTCCGCTGCACGAGCTGCTCAGGCTTAGGGCAAATGCCAGGGGATGTCAGTGGTTCTTGAGCTCCCTCCCAGGGTGTGTCTGGGCACAGTGGCCCAGAGGAAGGAGCAGGGGCTCAGGGGGAAGGGAGGGGAGGGGGATCTCTGCTTTCCTCAGGGTTTACATCCTACACCATGCAGTAGCACCAAAGTTCATGAGGTTAATGGTATGCAGTCTGGTGTGGTTACTTCCGCTTCCTGCCACAGTACTTCCCTTGGCAGCCAGCTCCACCTGGCAGGGGAGAAAGGACAGAGCATCAGCCCCGAGTGTCCAGAGTCCAAGCAAGTCCTGGAGCTACAAGCACTCCTGGGGATACAGGCAGCTGTGTGCAAATGCTGCCACCTGGTGGTAAGATGGGGATCCATCAGGAGCCTTGCTGCCTGCTGATGGCACCAGCATCCAGGCTGGGCTTGTGCCAATGTCACCCACCTATTGTTATTTTAAAGCAACCTACTATCAGGTTGAATGGAACCATGCTGCAAACAAAGCATGTGCAACTGCCCGGGAGCCCAAGGAGGACATGGGGACAGGGAGTGGTCAAGATCAGTCCCTGGCACCAGAGGGAGAAGGTATTTCTGAATCGAGACACTTTCCGGGTTGTTTGCCCCCAGGCCCATGGCTAGGACCAGCTCTGCCTCCCATCCCAGGACTCAGCCATTGCAGTGAGTGGCTGAGCCATTTACCACTGGAGTGGCTTTGGCTTTGGCTAAGGAATGCCATGGATTTCTCCTTCTGGAGCCTCCCCTATTTGCTCCCCCATCTTGTTCCAGTGTGTGGATTCTTGCCACGGGAAGAGCCTCAAGTCATCATGGCCCAGGCTGGGTACAGGTGCTGGGGGCAAGGGAGCTGGGGTCTGACCAGGCAGTGACACTGACCTCTGTAGCCCAGAGCACCAAGTGCCCCACCATAAGGCTTTGGGGGTTTTCCTATGGAGAGACAGAGACATACAACATCAGTGTGAGACTCCCTGAGGAGGAAGCTCCCCCAGTGTAGTGCACCGCAGCAGTGACATAGTGGCAAAATCTAACTGTGCTGTGTGCACAGTGCAGTAACCACATGTACTGTGCCATACTTTAGTTCTAAAAGGAAGGACTGAAGCACAGCACCGTAGCAACATTACCATACGGTGAAGTGTAGACATGCCCTGTCAGTCCTGGGGCCCCAGGTCCCAAAGGTACTAGCAAGTGACTCCCCAGTTAAATCCAGGAGCAACAACATGGTGCTGGGTGTCATGGGCTTAATCAAGGCCCTCTCCTGGGGCAACTACCTGCAAGCTACAGCCACACTGGGTGCAGGGATGCCTGCACTGCCAGCCCAGCAGGCACTCAGCAAGGGGGGACAGGTTATGTAGCTTCAAAGTGTTGCCCTTCTTAGGGCATTGGGGTGAAGGGGGAAGCTAGCCCTGGTCTACCTTCCCAAATGCCATGCCAAGATAAGCTGGCTTGCTGGAAGTACTACCAGGATGCAGGTCAAGGACAAGGGTCCCTGACTTCAGAAAGGGACAAGAGCCCTGGCTCTGCTAGAGACAAGAAGTGACCAGATGCCCCTGGCCCCAATCTCCTCAGGCTAGTCCTGACACTTACCTCCATATCCCAGCTGGCCACCAACCCCACCTGAAAGCAAAGCAAAGAGTCCTTAGTATCAGTACTGCCACTGTTTCACCCCTACCCTAGGCTTTGGTGTGCTGAGCTTAGCTGTGGCCTTAGCATCTCTTGGGAAGCAGTTCTGAGGCCATCCCACTTGAAGGCTTTAGCCATACCAGCCACTCAGTCTGAACCTCCTTGGACACAGGGGTCCTGGGCCCTGAAGTCCAAGACAGGCCAGATGCCAGCCAGCAGAAGTATCTTCTTAGGCACAGGACCATCCCTGTTTATATGCGGTGTCTCCTGCTTAGTGGGTAAGAGGATCACAGAGGATACGGGGTGGGGGTGGCCTCTAGGACAAGATCACTGCCAGGAGACAGAAATTGTGTTTCCTAAAATACCTGGGTAAATGGGAGACAGACCAAAGCCAGGAAATACAGCCCCTAGAACAGAACAACAGTAAGTAAAGTCTGGGAGGACACCTGGCATGGCTTATCCTGGACCCCTGGCTGCTTAGACTGGTCCACTAGTTCACTAGGGACCCTCCTGTGTCAGGCCTCTGCCAAGGCACTCAACTGGGCAAGTAGCTCTCCTGTACAGAAAAAAGTCCGAGGCCCCGCTGCTGGGGTTTGGTGTGAAGAAGAGCCCTCGGGGCCCAAGGGCGCTATCCTTGCCTAAGGTTCAGCCCCATCAGAGCAGTAATGGCTGTGAGTACCTGAGCCACCCTGCAGGACTGGGAGGCCAGGAAGTGTAACCCATGGGCAGAAAACTGTAGGCAATCAGGTGGGACTAGGAAGCCATATGTGGGGAGCCTGCCTGGCTAAGCTGGCTCCTTCTGATAGCCCATACATTAGCCCAGCTCATCAAAGGCTTGCATGACCCAGCACAAAATCTTAGGGGCTGAGAGTTGGAATCCACACAGAGCTGCATATAGGCAGGGGACATATTTCCTGGCCCTACAGTACCCAGGATACTGGACTTCATCCCTGTGCCCCTCACCTGGCTGTAAGCCTCCAGCACCGAAACCTGCAAAAGAAACAATTCAGTTCACCAGCTTATAATGAAAGTAACCTGCCCACCACAGCAGAAGTACTCCACAGCCAGGACAGGCCAGGACTTTCCCAAAAGCCAGTGTCCCCACCCTGCTCCGCACAGTGCCCCTGCTCAGAATGTCTGGGATTGGCACAGGCAACAGCTTCCCCTGCAGCTGGCACCTCTGCTCCAATCCTGTCCTCACAGGCAGAGCTGTTGCCCCGCTCTCTGCAGCACCCCTTCATTGCAGAGCCTGGGGCCAGGTGTTCTCACTGGGATTGTTACCTGTTTTGGGAGCTTTAGCACCGACTCCTGTGTACAGCAGCCCTGTCACAGAACAGTCACATCTTCAGCATGAAGCAAATGCTAACAGTGCCTGGCCAGCAACAGGCAGCACTGGGGGG